GTGAGGCTACACCACGATGTGCGGGCGACAGGGCACCCGGGGTGGTGGAAAACCCTGGAACTTGTCTCCCATGACTACTGGTGGCCCCGGATGGCGGAGTACATCGGGCGGTACGTACGTTGCAAGAGGGCTCGCAGCTCTCTATGCCGACTAAGCTCGTGGGGGACAAACTCTCCAAAACTCCTACTTCTTGACTAGACTTCGCTACGCTCTTGATCCTTAAACTCCGTGTGGGTACTCCAGGATTCCGCAAGGTCTGGGCTCAACTAATCTACTACCCACTCGTTGTGGGCTAGACAGTTGCCCTTATTCCTACTGTTGGATTCCACACACTCACTCCAACTCTAGCGCATCCTAGCACCTTAGAGAAATTGGGGGAGGGGAGAACTTCTATTCCAGAATCCGGTATGTACAGGATATAAGGAACAATTATTTTTAGAATAATTGATGGGAAATATTGGTACCATATGGCACCTGCATACCTTATTAGGTGAAGTAATAAAAAAGGTAACAGTATCAATAAAAGAATATTAATCAATAACTGAAATGATGGCAAAATATGAAAATATAAGAAAATAAGCGATATCTCAACGGATTTACGGGATTAAAGGCCAAAATTGGAAATGAAGCCGGAGATAACTCTCACGCAGCCAATGAGCATTTTTACCAATTTATTAGACGCCGTGGGAACGAGTGAGGCTGAAATTCTGGGTTGCCGCTTGAGATTCCCACGCCCGCACATGCTCGTGACCTTCCGTGCCTAACCTGTCCAATGCAGAACTTCGTCAAATCTCGACCGATTGGGACGCTCTTGGTATCGTCAGAATCGTACGAATTAGGACTATTTTTAGGTACCAAATTCCGTACCGAGTTGTCGCATGAATGGAAGTGGTTTTATAGTCGTGAAAACAGGTATCCGAGCCGAGTCTGTGCGTGGGCGATTATCCCGCCTACAACGTGGGTGCGACACCTGTAACCGTGTCAAATCCTTCCCCTCATGAAAGGTTGGGAAGCTTACCCCGAACAAAGTCCCTACCCGTTGTTGGCAGGTAATTTCAGTGGATATGGTGGGAGAGCTCCCAGAGTCCAAGGGGTATAATGCCATCCTGGTGGTAGTGGACCGCCTGTCCAAACATATCCACACGGTCCCCACTGTGACGACCGTAGACTCGGAGGGTATTGCACGACTCTTCCTAGAGCATGTCTGGAAGCATCATGGGCTCCCGGAGGAGATCCTCAGCGACAGAGGAAGCACCTTTGTCTCCCGCTTCTTGAGAGAGCTCGCGGACCTCCTAGGCATAAAACTAACCCCCTCAACGCCCTACCACCCCAGACGGACGGACAGACTGAGCGGGTCAACCAAGAGATTGAAGCCTACCTCCGGGTGTTCGTCAACCATTGACAGGATGACTGGGCAGATTGGCTCCCGCTAGCGGAATTTTCCTACAACAACCGCATCCACTCATCCACCCACCAAACCCCTTTCAAACTCGATACCGGCCAGCACCCCAGAATGGGGACGGAACCCACACATACGTCCGAAGTGGAAGCTGCTGATGCATTTTCGTCAAGGATGATGAAAATGCAGGAGGAGGCGAAAGCCGCACTGGAACACGCAGCAGATGAGATGGCCTGCTACTATGACCGAGACCATGAGGCAGCCCCAGAATATTGAGAAGGTGACCAAGTCTGGCTCAGCGCCCAGAACTACATGACCGACCGTCCAACCAAAAAGCTGGACCACAAATGGCTTGGCCCCTTCAAGATCGTCAAAGTTGTCTCCCCAGCCGCCGTCAAACTCCAACTCACCACACGACAGAAGGGAGTTCACCCGGTCGTGTCCGTAACGAACATCAGGCCACACCGCCCAGACGATATCGCAGAACGACCCACTGACCCCCGCCCAGGCCCGGAACTCATAGATGGAGAAGAAGAGTACAAGGTTGAGAAGGTATTGGACTCCAAGTGGCTACGCCGGAAACTCTGGTATCTGGTAAAATTTGTTGGTTGGCCAAGCTCAGAGAACCAGTGGCTCCAGTGGGACCACTTAGCCCATGCCCCCGACCGGATCGAGGAATTCCACAGGATGCACCCCCTAGCCCCAGGGAGAGAAAGAGAGAACCGCCTGACCGCTTCGAGGTGAAGTGGCTTAAGGAGGGGGTGATGTCAGGGCACACCCACCTGACCTGGGTCCACCTGGACCCACCTGGCCACACCACACCCGCTCCCCACTGTCCAACCCTCTCCCCCTCCTTCCTCCCTCTCTCCCCCTTTCCTTTCTCTCTTTCTTCTCCTTTCTTTATCTCATTCCTCTTATCTTCCTTTTCTTGTTTATCCCTTTCTATCTACACGGACCACCTTCCTTTGTATCAATGTACTATTGACCCATCTGGCCCACACACCCCAGATGACTTCCTGCTGTACCCAGCATGGGTGCATGCAGCGGACACTCTCGGGATCCCCCATGGGGACACCCGGATGCCCGCGGCTGTTTCTGAGGATGACGTGGCACTCATCATGTGACTCAAGCCGCATGTACATAAATGTACCTGAAGTGGGAACCGAAGAAGTAACCTTCTTCTCACATTCTCCACTTCAGTCTAAGTGGCCAGGGACTGCTGTCCCTTCCTGGACCTGCCAGCACGCACACCCGGTTTGCACCCCACAAGGGCCCTTCTGCTGGGCGATACATACGGACCCCTTCTACCCCAGATGCGTCCCTGACACTCAACAAGATCACGGTCAAAAACTCATACCCCCTCCCACTCATTTCGGACATCCTTGTGTGCCTCCGAAATGCCAAAAACTTCTCGGCACTAGATCTGTGCTGGGGATTTAACAATGTCCACATCAAGGATGGCGATGAGTGGAAAGCAGTGTTTTCGACCAACCAGGGATTGTTCAAGCCTACTGTCATGTTCTTCAGCCTGTGTAACTCCCTGGCAACATTCCAGACAATGATGAATGACATTCTCTGAGACTTCATCGATCGAGAGGTCATCATCTGCTACATGGACAACATCTTGATCTTCACAGCCACCCTAGAGGAGCACTGGAGGGTCGTCCGAGAGGTCCTAGAGATGCTGTGGAAGTGGAGACTCTTCTTAAAGCCAGAGAAGTGTAAGTTCAAGCAGAAGCGGATCGAGTATCTCGGCCTCATCATCTCTGAGGGAAACGTCGCGATGGATCCTGTGAAAGTCTGCGGAGTTCTGGACTGGCCAACCCCAACCAAGGTCAAAGAAGTACAATCCTTCCTGGGGTTCATCAACTTCTATCGCCAGTGAAGGAGTGGAGCTGGATCACCTTATGTAACCAGTTTCCTATGTCCAATAACGATATTAGAGTTTGTGCTGATTTGCGTACTGACCGTGTTTTGGTTGCCAAATATATAATTGTTCACTGTCTAAACAACAATAAACACCCCCCAACGATCTCACCTGATGTATAGATCGTCTATGGATAAATTCTATATTGACTTTACTATGATTTCTAGTCAATATTACACCTAGATTTACCACTTTCAGTAGGATGTGATTTTCCTGATAATTTACTGAAGGAAAACTACTAATAAAATAATTCCGCAATAAATGTTACTCAATACAGGAGTGACCAAACTGCTCTTTATATCGCAATACCTAGGATTCGCCCTCGAAGGGGCTTCGAGGGAAATTCCCACGAAAAATTGAATTGATTTTTCATTCTCACGACCCCTTCGAGGGAATTCTCACGGGGCTTCGAGGCATTCAATTTTTGAATGACCCGGCAACTCCCTCTATCCTTATCACCTACCTTAGCATCCTTGTCGCTCATCACTTCTTCCTCACTGTTTCCCACGTTCTTCGCATACTTTTATATAATCAATTTGTACCTCTCAATACCTTCTGAAATATAAAATTTGAGACTGAATTGACTAGTAGATTATCGAGAAATGCAAAAAATTTCGCGAGAAATTCAAGACAAGCGTCGGTCCAATGCCTCAACTATTCCTGAAACAATGAAACTTGTGGAATATGTGGACCCCTATGTCGCCCAAAGGGGTCTTGCTACTGTTTCCCATGGTGTTCAGAGACTTTACATAATCAATGATATCAAATTTGAAACTGAATTGATTAGTAGATTATCGAGAAACTCCCACTACTCCATAGCGGGTCCTATGCCCCAACTCAATTATCCTATGCACACGGTCCTCTATGACCCCCAAACCCAGGGTCCATTCTCTGCCCCATACAGTTCTATTCCTCTCGCTGTGTGGCTGCAGTGTAAATTACGTGGTTCTGAAATAAGAGTATGTGGTGGGTTTACAGAGCGAGAGCAAATCTCAGGCTTCGTCTCAGCCAATAGCAACATTGAGAGTGAACATGCATGCGGGGTAAGAGTAGCGGGATCTGCCGCTTCAGGCGGTGTTCCCCAGTTATTCAAAAAAATTCGCAAGAAATTTTAGTACATTTCCATGTTGCAACCCAACACCGTTCAACACTGTAAACCTGTAGCTCATGAGTGGGTAAGGTGAGGCAACCAATCAGAGTGCTTCAATCGCAACTCTCCCCAGCTTTTAGTATATGTAGATATTATATGATTCCTCGATCAAGTAATGTTAAACTGCCCCACTGAGATGTCGGTTACCATAGTGTGATTAGTCATCTCGAAAGACGTTGCAACCCAACCCAACGCTTTTGAACCATTATGGCAGCACCAAGAAGGTTTTTCGTCTTTCAAAAGTAGGGCATCACAATGATTACACGGAGTCGTGTTCCATGGTGTGGAGAGAGCAGGGGGGTTCCAGGAGTGTAGGTATGCGAAGGATCCAGTGTTGGATCTTCTACGACGTACGGAAGTGGATGGTTCAAGCGAGTTCATGATGTTTTCTGAAGAACAGGCAGGGTGCACTAACAAAGAGTTTCATTCGGGTGGAGCGACATTATATACACAAATCAAGAGTACAATAGCATAGAGACAAACACGGAAAATTGGAAGGGACGTTCATGACCCTCATTCTGCATTTAGCACTTAATGCGTTTGTTGCTGCTCTCCGCATCGTCATTGTCATGATCGTCTTCCCAATCCTTGGGACTAAGCACGGATGTGGTAGTGACGTCATCAGCGGAAGTCGCGGGTTCTCGATTAAACAGGCTCCTTTTTTTGTGCGGGGCAGTGGCAGAAGAAGTGGAAGCGGAGGAGCGTAAGTACCCGATGTCTTCCAACTTGAAGCGGGCAACGTTGTCGTGGATGTCATGAAATCGAGCAGTGGACAGGAGTCGCAGTGGGTGGATAGTAGAAGTTTTTCCATCGCGTGGTAGACGGAATGAGAATGGTGACAGAAAAGTTAAGGACGGATTTGGACTGTATGTACATCATGAGCGGATTGGGTGGTGTGGTGAGTGGAAGACACATACCACAGCCTGGTATGCGCCAGTGGCCAATGTGAACCAACGATCGCCAGTGGCAGTACACAAGCCCGTGAAGTCGAAAAAAGCGTTGGTGTCAGTAACGGGACGCATGTCCTTCCCCGGATTGTTGCTGAGCAACACAGTCAAGGAGGAGAGGGAGGAGGTGGCGATAAACTCCCCATTGACAATGCGAGGGATGAAAGAGCCGCGAACAAGTAGCAGATCACCGAGCGAAGGAGGCAGAATCGTAGTCGATTTAGGAACAAAGAAGTTGAATTTGATGTTCATGGCATCCGCGACGTCGGAACCTGGCCCGTCAATTGAGCGGCATGGTATCAGTGGAGACGCGGGAACGAAAACTGAGCGCACCAATGAGGAAGTCACTGTGCAGGTTGGGTTATAGGGTGATTTTTTGGACTTGGATGCTCGATTCCATTTTTTGGATGCTCGACCTTTGGGATGTTGGGAGTTGGAGTGGGGACTGGATGCTGGACTCTGGAGGCTGGCGTGCTGGGATGCTGGGAGGCTGGGAGGCTGGAGGCTGGATGGATGCTGGGTCTGACTGCCACCTACTATGGAGGCTCTCAAGGAGCAGTGCTGACACTGTCGGCACTTTGGATGCTGGCTCTGGCTGCACTGCTGCTGCACTGCCACTCACTATGCAGCCTCCCATGCAGAAGTGCTGACACTGTCGGCACTTTGGATGCTGGCTCTAGCTGTACTGCCACTGCACTGCCACCTACTATGGAGGCTCTCAAGCAGAAGTGCTGACACTGTCGGCACTCTGGATGCTGGCTCTAGCTGTACTGCCACTGCACTGCCACTTACTATGCAGCCTCTCATGGAGAAGTGCTGACACTGTCGGCACTTTGGATGCTGGCTCTGGCTGTACTGCCACTGCACTGCCACTCACTATGTAGCCTCTCAAGCAGAAGTGCCGACACTGTCGGCACTCTGGACACTAGGATTGCTAGGGTTGGGTAGGGTTGCACTGCCACCCAATATGAAGCCTCTCAAGGAGAAGTGCTGACACTGTCGGCACTTTGGATGCTGGCTCTTACTGTACTGCCACTGCACTGCCACTTACTATGCAGCCTCTCAAGCAGAAGTGCCGACAGTGTCGGCACTCTGAACACTAGGACTGCTGGGGTTGGGTAGGGTTGCACTGCCACCTACTATGAAGAACTTCAAGCAGAAGTGCCGACACTGTCGGCACTCTGGATGCTGGCTCTAGCTGTACTGCCACTGCACTGCCACCTACTATAGAGGCTCTCAACGAGAAGTGCTGACACTGTCGGCACTTTGGATGCTAGGTCTGACCTCACTGCCACTGCACTGCCACTCACTATGCAGCCTCCCATGCAGAAGTGCTGACACTGTCGGCACTTTGGATGCTGGCTCTAGCTGTACTGCCACTGCACTGCCACCTACTACAGAGGCTCTCAAGGAGAAGTGCTGACACTGTCGGCACTTTGGATGCTGGCTCTGACTGCACTGCCACTGCACTGCCACTCACTATGCAGCCTCTCATGGAGAAGTGCTGACACTGTCGGCACTTTGGATGCTAGGTCTGACCTCACTGCCACTGCACTGCCACTCACTATGCAGCCTCCCATGCAGAAGTGCTGACACTGTCGGCACTTTGGATGCTGGCTCTAGCTGTACTGCCACTGCACTGCCACCCACTATGGAGGCTCTCAATGAGAAGTGCTGACACTGTCGGCACTCTGGACACTAGGATTACTGGGGTTGGATAGGGTTGCACTGCCACCTACTATGAAGAACCTCAAGCAGAAGTGCCGACACTGTCAGCACTCTGGATGCTGGCTCTAGCTGTACTGCCACTGCACTGCCACCTACTATGGAGGCTCTCATGGAGAAGTGCTGACACTGTCGGCACTCTGGATGCTAGCTGACTGTACTGCCACACTGCCACTTACTATGCAGCCTCTCATGCAGAAGTGCTGACAGTGTCGGCACTCTGAACACAAGGATTGCTAGGGTTGGGTAGGGTTGCACTGCCACCTACTATGAAGACCTCAAGCAGAAGTGCTGACACTGTCGGCACTTTGGATGCTGGCTCTGACTGCACTGCCACTCACTATGCAGCCTCTCATGGAGAAGTGCTGACACTGTCGGCACTTTGGATGCTAGGTCTGACCTCACTGCCACTGCACTGCCACTTACTATGCAGCCTCTCATGCAGAAGTGCCGACAGTGTCAGCACTCTGAACACTAGGATTGCTAGGGTTGGGTAGGGTTGCACTGCCACCCACTATGAAGAACCTCAAGCAGAAGTGCCGACACTGTCGGCACTCTGGATGCTGGCTCTAGCTGTACTGCCACTGCACTGCCACCTACTATAGAGGCTCTCATGGAGAAGTGCTGACACTGTCGGCACTTTGGATGCTGGCTCTAGCTGTACTGCCACTGCACTGCCACCCACTATGGAGGCTCTCAATGAGAAGTGCCGACACTGTCGGCACTCTGGACACTAGGATTACTGGGGTTGGATAGGGTTGCACTGCCACCCACTATGAAGAACCTCAAGCAGAAGTGCCGACACTGTCGGCACTCTGGATGCTGGCTCTAGCTGTACTGCCACTGCACTGCCACTTACTATGCAGCCTCTCATGGAGAAGTGCTGACACTGTCGGCACTTTGGATGCTGGCTCTGGCTGTACTGCCACTGCACTGCCACTCACTATGTAGCCTCTCAAGCAGAAGTGCCGACAGTGTCGGCACTCTGGACACTAGGATTGCTAGGGTTGGGTAGGGTTGCACTGCCACCCAATATGAAGCCTCTCAAGTGCTGACACTGTCGGCACTTTGGATGCTGGCTCTTACTGTACTGCCACTGCACTGCCACTTACTATGCAGCCTCTCAAGCAGAAGTGCCGACAGTGTCGGCACTCTGAACACTAGGACTGCTAGGGTTGGGTAGGGTTGCACTGCCACCTACTATGAAGAACTTCAAGCAGAAGTGCTGACACTGTCGGCACTCTGGATGCTGGCTCTAGCTGTACTGCCACTGCACTGCCACCTACTATAGAGGCTCTCAACGAGAAGTGCTGACACTGTCGGCACTTTGGATGCTAGGTCTGACCTCACTGCCACTGCACTGCCACTCACTATGCAGCCTCCCATGCAGAAGTGCTGACACTGTCGGCACTTTGGATGCTGGCTCTAGCTGTACTGCCACTGCACTGCCACCTACTATAGAGGCTCTCAACGAGAAGTGCTGACACTGTCGGCACTTTGGATGCTAGGTCTGACCTCACTGCCACTGCACTGCCACTCAATATGCAGCCTCTCAAGCAGAAGTGCCGACACTGTCGGCACCTGGACACTAGGATTGCTAGGGTTGGGTAGGGTTGCACTGCCACCTACTATGAAGATCTCAAGCAAAAGTGCTGACACTGTCGGCACTTTGGATGCTGGCTCTGACTCCACTGCCACTGCACTGCCACTCAATATGCACCCTCTCATGCAGAAGTGCTGACACTGTCGGCACTTTGATGCTGGCTCTGGCTGTACTACCACTGCACTCCCACTCACTACAAGCAAAGGTGCTGACACTGTTGCTACTCTGTACACTAAGTCTGACCTCACTGCCACTGCACTGCAAATCTTCGCTCTCTCCTCAGTACAAAATTACTCTCAGGGCATGCAAATGGCTCAATAGGCAGCCCCAAATAACAAGTGTCCAATTAGGCACAGAGAGGTAAATATGAATGAATGGGGGAAATTATCATAGTGGATCAACAATTTAGCAAGTAACTAGAATCGCTGCTGTGCCCCCTTGTGATGGGAATTTTTGTATCCAACTAAATCAAATAATGGAAATATTGAGTAGCGTTGTAGGAGAAATAACATATGAAGCTATATTATCAACTGGAGAGTAATAAAGGCTAAAGAGCCAGTCTACCCTCCATGCTACTTTATGCCGGAGTGTCAGGAACATGTCGGACGCATATCCGGATGATCCGCAAAGCGTGCAAAGTCATCCGGGCTCGTAAGGTCGGAGGGGCGGGACTTCAGCTTCAGCGACTCAGGTGGAGTGCGCTGCACTTCATTCTTACGTTGTTGTCCCAATTTCAGACAGAAGCCTTACGATGTAGAGAAGAGACTAGGGGGGGAAATCCAAGTCAATATACGAACTGAGGTACACCCGGTGTAACCTACACGCGTTATAAGCACAAGTAACTAAATGGGCTGGCCCGGAAGGAGTGGCGGATCAAGCGCGATATTAATGAATGAAGAAAGAGACAAATAGTTAATATCTGCAAACTTGGTCAACAAAAGGCAAGCAACAACAATGAGTGGCAAAGGAGGAACAATAGTCTGCAGGCGAACAAAAGAGAAAAGGCCATCCAGCCGTCTAGCAAGCTGTCTGGTTGGTGGGCAGACAACAAAGAACCACTCGAGCAGGCAACCTTGGTTGGGAGGTATGTGCGTGGGGGAGGAAGTGTGGATGACGGTGACAGGTGGACGGATGGATGGATGGACGGATGATGATGTTAGTGGGCGGGACGGGCCAAGTGGCACTAGGGCGTGTTGATGGATGTGACGGATGTGTCGGGTCATGACATGGAGTCCGCAAATGCATGCGGCTTGGTAAATAGTAAACAAGCACACTTTTGCATGCGATCTCAGCAAGATATAAAAGAATTATTTCTCAGAAAGCCTGAGTGACAGATCCAACAAAGGAATCACAGTAAATTCACAGAAAAGTTCCAGCAAGAGAAAAGCTCTGCAGGGGTTCTGTTTCCTAGTAATTCTTGTTGGAAGTCATTGTGGTTAACGACGATCTATTTACCTTATTAGTTTGTCTGACGCGGTGTTGATGGGATCACCGCTGATACCCTTTTCCGCCTACTCTTTCTGTTCTATGCATTAACCCTTGCCGACGACCATGTGTCGCGATTGCAAGCGATATTAGTACTCGTTGTATAAATGGCGCGGGGCGCTAGGTTTTTTCCCTTTCCCTCAGTACTCAAGTTAGAGACTGAGGTGATATCCCTTTTGTTGTTTTTAACTTTCGTATAACTGACTGTACTCTCCGTGTTATAGTCCGTGCGTACAGGTAAAGAGTTACAATGTTATTAGTTCTCAAGTTAGAGACTGAGTCCGTGCGTACAGCTCTATTAATCATTTCAATTCTAACATCCTGAGTTTCAAAGACTAATGTACAACAAGGAGAATTAGCCAAAACACTCAGGCAGGCACAAAGATCTCAAGTGCACATCCCCAAATGAACAACGATCCCAGAGTTCGTCACTCTCGCAACAATTTCTTATTTGATCACCCCAAGAACACCAAGAAGGGAAGCAACAGGAATGCTGTATGTCGGTGAGAGCAAGTATAGGACTGTCCCTGCATATAAGCCC